ACCTCAAGATCGTGACCTGAGCTGAAGTTGGCGCTTAACCGACTGAGCCACCCAGGCACCCCCATAGTTCTTCTAAAAGGATAAATATTTATTAAAAGTAGGAGAAATATTAACTGAATTTGTATATTTCTTTAGCTGGATAGTGGGTATATCTGTTAAAATTATTTTCAGTGCCTTTTTTGTATGTCAAATATTTTGTAATCAATAAAACCATTATTAAAAGTGCTAACCACTAATATTTGCATGTGTAACAGACTATGAGAAATGGGTATGAAGTCAGTACCTGTAGGTCTGTCCTTCAGCAATTTGTTATCGATTATGATAAATTGGTACTGAGTACATGGATAGCTGTTTAGAAGAGTTCTATTGCAATTTCCAGCTCCGTGGCAGAGGGTATCGTGATTGATGTCTGAGGCAGACATGTAGAGTATAGGAACAGTGCTTTGTTTTTGCTAACCGTTGATTATCTAATGTGTTTATCAGAAAGCCCTGGGACTTCACCTGGACAGTTTCTTTGTCCTGTGCTTACTGCAGTTCTTCTTTTACCCTGGGAATCATACCATGATACTGTATCTACTATGGTGAAATCTACTAGGATTTCATTATGATTAATCCCAAGAAAGAGTTCCTATTTATTTTTATTATTTTTATTGAGATATAATTCATGTATCATAAAGTTACCCTTTTAAAGTGGCTTTTAGTGTATTCACAAAGTTATACAACTATTATCACTGTTATCAGACTGTTCTACCACCCCAAAAGAAATCCCATGGAACCATACAATATTTGACCTTTTGTGTCACCCTTCTTTCTTTCATTTTGCATAATACTTTCATGGTTCTTTCATATCGTAGCATGATCTGTGTTTCATTCCATTTTATGGCCAAATAATATTCCGTTGTATGCATAGACCACATTTTATGTATCTGTTTAATTGTTGATGGACATGTGAGTTATTTCCACTTTTTGACTATTATGAATAATCTGGCTGTCAACTTCCATGTACAAGTTATTACACGGACATATGTTTTCCTTTCTTTTAGTAATATACCTAGGAGTGTGTGAGAAATAAGGCCACTGACCCAATCAAAGGAGGAATGCGGAGGAGACTCGGAGCACAGTGAAGCAAGGCTTTAATCACCGTTCTTGCAAGAGCAGGTGTCTGATGGACAGGCACGCTCAAGGCAGTTACAGCAGGCAGTTTATCTCCTAGCATGCAAGGGCCTCCCCCGGTTCCTCATTGGCTGAGTACTAGAGAGGTTACAGCCTTACCCAGACCACGCCTTTGCCCATGTAAGGCAAAAAATAGTCTGATTGGGACAAATGTACATTCCTTGAGGTGACACAGAGACTTCAGTTCTTTGGCTCACGCTCATTGCAAAGCCTGTGAAAAATAAGCCCACGAAATGGAGAGGGGAAGAAGAACCAGGAAGTGAAGTGTCTAAGGGTTTGGGACTCTATTGTGGGTAGGTGGGGGTTTGTACATATTTCCAATGGGTTGTAAACCTATTGTTACTAGACAGCCCTGCTTTTATTTGGTATTTCTGAAAATGAATCATCTCACTGACTTCTCAAAGAATGGAATTACTGGGTCATATGGTAACTCCGTGTCTAACATTTTGAGGAATACAAACTGTTTTCCAAAGTGGCTGCACCATTTTACATTTCCACCAGCAGTGTATGAAGGTTCTGATTTCTCTATTTCCTTGCCAGCACTTACTATTTTTTACAAATTTTTTAAGTATTATTTATTTATTTATTATTATTTTAAATTTTATTATTTTTCTTAAATTTACATCCAGATTAGTTAGCATATAGTGCAACAATGATTTCAGGAGTAGATTCCTTATGCCCCTAACCCATTTAGTCCATTCCCCCTCTCACACCGCCTCCAGTAACCCTCTGTTTGTTCTCCATATTTATGAATCTCTTATGTTTTGTCCCCCTCCCTGTTTTTATATGATTTTTGCTTCCCTTCCCTTATGTCCCTTTTGTATCTTAAAGTCATCACATGAGTGAAGTCATATAATATTTGTCTTTCTCTGACTACTTTCACTTAGCATAATACCCTCCAGTTCCATCCATGTAGTTTCAAGTGGCAAGATTTCATTCTTTTTGATTGCCAAGTGATACTCCATTGTATATATATACCACATCTTCTTTATCCATTCATCCATCGATGGACATTTGGGCTCTTTCCATATTTTGGCCATTGTTGATAGTGCTGCTCTAAACATGGGGGGTGCACGTGTCCCTTTGAAACAGCACACCTGTATCCCTTGGATAAATGCCTAGTAGTGCAGTTGCTGGGTCTTAGGGTAGTTCTATTTTTAATTTTTTGAGGAACCTCCATACTGTTTTCCAGAGTGGCTGCACCAGCTTGCATTCCCAAAGTGTTTTTTTATTTATTTTTGAGAGACAGAGAGAGACAGAGCATGAGTGGGGAGGGGCAGAAAGAGAAGGAGACACAGAATCTGAAGCGGACTTCAGGCTCTGAGCTGTCAGCACGGAGCCCGATGCGGGGCTTAAACCCATGAACTGTGAGATCATGGTCTGAGCCGAAGTCGGATACTTAACCAACTGAGCCACCTGTCAGCACTTGCTATTATATGACTTTTTGACCCACGCCATTCTAAAGTGTGAAGTGGAATTGTAATTTGATTTGCATTTCCCTAATGACTAAGATGTTGAGCATCTTTTCATAACGCTTATTGGCCATTCATACATCTTTTTTTTTAGAGAAATGCCTATTTAAATCTTTTGCCAGTTTTTAAATTTGGTGATTTGCCCTTTTATTATTGAAAATATGAGTCCCATATCAGATATATGATTTGCAAATATATTCTCCCATCATGTGGATAGTGTTTTTACTTTCTTGATGATGTCCTCTGAGGCACAAAAGTTTTTAATTTTGGTGAAGTCCAATTTATCTTTTTTTTTCCTTGTCCCTTTGGTGTCATAACTAAAAGACTCTTGCCTAATCTGAGGTGATGAAAATTTATGCCTGTGTTTTTTTCTAAGAGTTTATAGTTTTAGGACTTAATTTAGGTCTTTGATACATTTTGAGTTAATATTTCTCTTTGTGTATGAGGTAGATTTCAGTTCTTTTCAGTAGAGATAAAGCTCGTTATTTTTAAATTTACACAGCAAGGCCCTCTGATTAACCTCACTTGATAATATCTTAATCAGTATATGATTTCCTGCCACTTTATTAGTTTCACCTCTGACTTCCTGCTAATGAGTATTTTGTTGGTCTTAAATGGAGTTTCTTTATCAAAGCCATATTAACCTTTGCACTTAAAAAAATGTGAGAATTAGGAGGAAGTTTATTGATCATGCAGTCCAACCTTTTACCAGAGTAGAGGCCTTCAGTATCTGTGACGGAGAGGCTTTCGACTTCTTTTTTGACACTTTCAGAGATGATTTGTTTACTGTGCTGGCTTTGGCAGCACATATACAGAGATGATTCATTCACTGAATTGTATTGCACTGTAATGCAGTATTTAAGAAATCTAATCAAAAATCATTTTATAAATAAAAAATGTTTCAGAGGGAAATGATAGTTATTGAGTTTATTGATAGTTTACCACAGTTTTAATTTCATTTTTCCTGTAGCAATTTAAGTTAAAAGGAGTTGGTGATTGTATCATGTTATGGATGGAAAGTATGTGTCACCCCAGAATTCATATGTTGAAGCCCAAAACCCCCAATGTGATGGTATCAGAAGGTGTGGCCTTTTGGTGGTAATTAGGTTTAAATGAGATGTGAGGGCACAGTCCTCACAATGGGATTGATGTCCTTGTAAGAAGATACCAGGGAGTTTGCCCGACCCCCCACTGCCCCATAGCATGTGGTGATACAGCGTGAAGGCAGATATGTATACACCAGGAAAGGGCCCTCATGAGGCACCAAATCTACTGGCACCTTGATCTTGGACTTCCTAGCCTTCAGAACTTTGAGAAATAAATGTTTGTTGTCTAAGTACCCCCAGTCTCTGATGTTTTGTTATAGCAGCCAGAAGTAAGACATATAATAACCCACAGGGGTTTATAATTAAATGAAAGCATTATATCCACCAGTGTATTCAGAGAAATACTCATATTCCTAAAGCAATTCAGCTCAGTTTTTTAATTTTTACTTAAAATTTTACTTTAATTAATTAATTTTCCAGAGCACAGCATACACTTTATCTTAATACTAAGCATTAGAGTGATAAAAAAAATACAGAATGGAAAATTAGAGTATCACTTAGTCTTTGTGATTACGTAGTTCTGGTCTTTCACCATTTCTTTTTTTTTTAAATATATAATTTATTGTCAAGTTAGCTAACATAGTGTATACGGTGTGCTCATGGCTTCAGGAGTAGATTACCGTGATTCATCACTTACATAAAACAGTATGTAATTCAGCTCAGTTTTAAAAAGCTAATGGTTAGAACATTTAACATTTATTCTTTTATTCAGCTGGAATATTGCCCCTGGTAACAACTCTGCATTTTATCAATGTCCTCTTAAAACTTGGCTCCTAAAATTAAAGTCAGTACTTGGTGTATTGCACATATTAGTACAAAGTATGGCTGGCTGATGGTTTTTGTTTATTTTGTTTTTTCTTATTATAGAACTCAAAATTAAGCTGTTTTTTTGGTAGACATATATTTGGGACTCATGTTGAACTTATGATTAAGTGAAACCCCTTTTTAACAAGTTACTAAACTTCATGTTCCCTTCCTTTGAAACTCCTTAGAGTTGCTGTGAAAGTTAATTTACACCTACAAATTATCTGGGCTCTTCTCTGTGACTTATTGGCTACGTGACCTTAGCCAAGGTACCGAATTTCTTTGACCTCATTTATCTGTGAAATGGGGATAATACCTCCATTTTCACAGTGTTGTTGGGGGTTTAATTAGATGATGTGTGCCAATGCATGCATGTGGCTCTAGCATTCCCAATGGAAATAGGTCTTATGCAAACAGTCTTCTGTCATAGGTGCTTTGTTGCCGGCCTTACTTAACTCTGTCAGATATTGACTATTTGTTAAATAGAATCCACCCAGTTCAGATCTCTTTATGTGTTGGATTGATAGGAACTATTTGCATATGAAACATGCAGAAGAGAATAAAGAATAGTAGAAGAATCATTCCACGTACCATCCACCTAACTTAATTGGACTTTAACATTTTGCTGTATTTCAGATTTTTTTAAAAAGAAGTAAAACAATGTGGAATTGAACCCTCTGTGTACCATTCTCTCACTTTACCTTCCTACCCATTCCCTCGAGGTAAACAGTATCCTGAATATTTTTGTTTCCTCAAATAATATAACTATTTTGCATGTTTTAAAAATTTAGATATGTAATATACTGTAATATGCTCTTGCAATGTGCTTATTTTTCCTCAACATTTTCTACTGTGTGGCTCCACCATAATTTATTTACCCATTTGTCTTTGGGTCGTTGTTAGGTAGTTTCCAGTTTTTTATTATTAGACAATGCTACAGTCCTGAACATGTTTATCGTGAACATGTGTGAATTTCTGTAGAGGGTGCATGCGTGTGTGTGTGTGTGTGTGTGTGTGTGTGTGTGTGTGTAGGATTGGACTCACTAGTTGAGGAGTATATGCCTCTTCAGTTTTGAAGAATAATTTGACGTTACTTAATGAAGTACACCAATTTAGACGTTACTGCCAGAGTGTGAGAGTTTTACTTCCTCTACATTTCCTCCACCAAGTTTTAGCATTATCTAAAGTAATGAATTCAGCAGGTTGTAGATGGTGAGCAGTTATTAGGTTCAGCAGTTTGTCTGTCCAACTTTAGAAGCCCTTGGCATGTGTCAGGAAACATTTATACTATCAACTGAACAGGCTCCTGGAACTGTGTGGCTCCAGATTTCTGACTAACTTATTCCGGTGTAACCCATAATTCATTCAACAAATTTAGTTGAAAAATAGCAACTTTGAACTTCTTAGCAATGACACAATCCTATAAGTGCTGGTAATAGTCTTTATTATGTGTATTTTATTTGATTACACTTCTTTATGGAGCAAGTAAAGTAAGATTCTAGTCTCTAGCAATTGTGACTTAAAATAAGTACTAACCCATTAATAAAATTGGTACAGGATATATACTAGGGCAATAAAATGTAAACATAAATAGAAAGTCAAATTTTTATAGTTTAAGATTTTGACATTGAAAGACATTTGTGATCATTTATATAAAGTAAATATGGTGAAGTGTAGTGTAACGAGTGAATCTATAGCACTGGTAGTTATATTCTGATATGTACTGATAGCTCAGAGACAAAGATGGTGCACGTTTATTGGATTAAGAAGCAAATGTGTGAGCCAGAAATAAAGGTGCTTATCACAGCTTGACCCTTGCTCGAACTCCGGGCATCAGAGTAAGTTATAGCTGTTAAATCTAGTTTAGCATTAAGAAAGAACTTATCTCTAATTTAAAAAAAAAAAAATAGTATTAAAAACATATTTCTTCTGAAGTTCCCAAATTATTAAATGTGCATTTAGGAATCATTTGGGGGACATTTACTTTGGCACCCGTGTTAAATGTATTTCTCCTTTGGTATTTTAAGAGATTAAAGGTAATTGATGATATATTACTTGGTTGAAAGCTATCTTGCTGTCTTGCTTGCTTGTTTTTGTCCCCCATTTTCGGAAAGGAAAATAGAATATTGTGGGAAGTAGAGAAAAATATTAAGAAGTAGAAGGGAGGAAAAACTTAGAGCGAGTAACTATATACAGTCCTGTGCCTAGACAAAAGCTGTTAATATTTTGGTGGATTTCTGAAAATTACAATATGAATTTATAATTTTATTCAGAATTTTGGGTGTTTTTTCCAAAGCAAAGAACTGTTCTTTAATTTTTTGGATCAGGAGTTGAAAACAAACAAACAAAAAGAAACAATCAGGAACCTTCAGTGAAAGGAAGGTATTCTTAGTCTGTCACGGAGGGACAGCCATAGCAGCTCAGCCAGCGGCAGGCAGGCAGGCAGCTCGGAGCCGCCGGAGTCTGACCTCCTCCGTGCAGGCTGCCCAGTGGTAAACGGGCTGCACCTTGCTCCTCAGGCTGTAAAGGCACAAGTGACACGGACCCTGCCCTACAAAATACATTTTTTCTCTTTATGAATATGAATAGGTTTTCCCCCTTTTTAAAAAAAAAAGTTTATTTATTTTTGAGAGAGAGAGAGAGAAGGAACAGGGAGAGGCAGAGAGGGAGAAAGGGAATCCCAAGCAGGCTCTGTGCAGCCAGCATGGAGCCTCACGTGGGGTTTGAACTACGGAACCGTGAGGTAGTGACCTGAGCCCAGATCAAGAGTTGGTTGCTTAACCGACTGAACCACCTAGGTGCCCCGGTTTTTCCCTTTTTTAATTGAGGAGGAACGAAGACAAAAGTTAACTAAGCTGTAAATGCAAATAATTATGTCATTGTTGTTAACTGAGGCAAACTACAGCCACCCTTCTGACATTGTTATTAATAGTTATATTAGTAGAGCTTACCTTAAAAAAAAAAAACAAACTTGACCTAACCCCTTTTAATTCTCAGTCTGGTGTCTGACCTTTTAGTTTCTTCTCCCATCTGTTAGTGTCATCTTTCTCCCTTTCTGTTACTCCCTCTGTTTTACCTATTGCTATAAAACTGCCTTTAACCTTTCCCCCAATGTACTCTCCTCTCTGTCTAGCTTTTTTTCATTTGTAATATGTCTCTAGTATATTAATATACCAGAGTTTTTTCCTATGCACACCCCTCAACCACATATACCCACCATTGTTTTGGTCTACACATTGTTGTGTTTTGTTTGTTTTGTTTTTTATGTTTATTTTTGAGAGAGAGACAGACAGGCACACACTCACACACACACACACACACAGAAGCTGAAGCAAGTTCCAGGCTCTGAGCTGTCAGCACAGAGCCCGATGTGGGGTTCGAACTCATGAACTGTGAGATCATGACCTGAGCCAAAGTCAGACGTTTAACCGACTGAGTTACCCAGACATCCTTACACGGTGTTTTAATATCTGTTGAATTTGAGTGCTTTAAGGATAGCATATATTCTGTTCAGTAAGATATAGCCCCCACTTCTTCCTATTGGCTTAAATTCACCCCATTTACACATTTTTGTTAACTTAGGTGATTGTAGGGATTTGAATTTGCACGTTTTATACTATACTATACTCTCTGTGAAAGTGCAGGAATAGATCCATACACACATGTTAAACTGATTTTTGGCAGAGTTACCAAAGCATTTCAGTGGCAAAAGGGCAGTCTTCAACAAATGGTGCTGGACCAATTGGATATCTACATGCGAAAAAACTGGACTTCAATCCATATTTTGTTCCATAGTAAAAGAAAAAGTAACTCCAAATGGAGTTAACTAAATACTCCAAATGGAGTATAAATATAAGTAAATATAAAACTTAAAACTTTGACACTTGTAGACAAAAGAATAGTATAAAACCTCTGTGACCATTGGTTAGGAAAAGATTACTTACATTCAGTACAAAAGGCATGATCTGTAAAAGAAAAAATTGATAAATTGAGTGTCATCAAAATTAAGAACTTCTGACCTTGAAAAGACACTATTAAGAGTGGGGGGGTGGGGAAACCAGCCATCAGAGAAATGTAAACCAGAGCACAAAGAGATACCATTTCGTATCCACTATGACGCTAGGAAAAAAAAAAAGATAATAACAAGTGTTTATTTGAATGTGGAGAAATCAGAATCTTCAAACACTGCTGGTGGAAATATAAAATGGTACAGTCGGTTTGGAAAACAGTCTGGCAGTTTAAGATATCCTGCTGAACTCCTTCAAGTGTTAGCTCAGATCTCACCTTGAGTAAAGGAGGTCTACACATAGCTTCCTATTTAGTGTCCCTTCCTTTTCACTCACAATCCCTTTCCCTGCTCTTTTTTTACCCTCTAATACATATCACCTTATAAATATCACGGCATAATTTACTTGTTTTATTGTGTTTATTGTTTGCCTCTTCCCATTGGCACGTAAACTCTGTGAGGCCAGGATAGAACAGTGCCTGGCTCAGTGGCCTGTCATTAAATGTCTGTTGAATGAATGAATGAAAGCTGGCACTGGCTCCACATCTCATGCTCTGAGTCACTGTGATATGCAGCCTAACTATTATTGAGTTTTCATAATGACTTAATTTTTATAATGATTCAGTAACTATGTAATACTTTATCTAGCTATACTGTAATTTATCAAACTATTTCTTGTGATGTAGTTTATTTCTGAAGGATAGGGTCATTCATTTAACAAACATTTAGAAGCCTTTAGAATCGGGCTTTGTGTGCCAGCCTCATAAAGATGAAGAAAATATGGACCTTGTTCTCAAGGAACTGTCAGACTACAGTGGCAGTAGATATAGCAGCAGTTATTATAATGATATGTGATAAGGGCACCCATTAGAGGCATTTGGAAGGTACAAAGAGAATACACCAGACGTGCCCAACTCTGAGAGCTAGAGGTTGGGTCCTGATTTGGGGGTGGGGTAGAATTGGGAGGAGGAAGGACAACTGAACAAAAGGATGCAGTAACCAAAATGTTCATTGAGGGACAGTTTCAGTCAGAAGTTAAAACAGAGGGGAAGAGGACTCAAGATTGTCAAGGATGAAAAGGGTAAAGTACAACTTTAATCATTAGCAATGTCATGTCTTCTGGTAATTTGTAGCATAACACATTGTTGTGATCTGAGGAAGATTCTTACTTTCAGAAGTCTGCAAGTGTAATACATTTGGTTTGTGTTTATCTTAAAATATGTATTACTCCTTACCCTTAGGAGAGGATAGGATCGAGTTCTTAGAATTCCTTTAAACTGCAAACAATGGGTATTATAAACTAATAATTGTAGAAGTGAACTCTTTTTGAGTATTTATTATATACTAGGCACTGTTCTAAACATTTTACATGTGTTAATTAAGAATAATATATTTTACCTTTAGTTATATGTACGGTCATGATTATCTATAGGTGGATTATTTATATTTGGGTTATCCATTCATTTCAAAAGATCTCTTCATTGACTGTATCCTTCTACCTTCCCCTCAATATCATTCTCCTGTAACAATCATGTTTTTATTACACCTAATCAGCTCCCCCATCATCATTTATACCTGTATTTTAAAGCTGATAGATTGTTTTTGTCTTTCTACCACACGTGTTGACATTTAATGGGAAAGCAGATGTCATGTTAAGCCTCAGACCAGTATATAGACTCATTTTCCTCATTCTTAGAATTTTCCTAACTTCTTAAT